CCAGGTGGAGATTTTTTATGTTAGCTAAATTTATTAGTTGAATGAAATGATCATATCTATAAGTGAATAAAGTTACAAAATTAATAATGAGTACAATAAGTTACGCAACTAAATATACAATATTCTCCACTAATGAGTGTAGTGATACAATCGTGAAAGTAGGCGAGTGCCAAATATTAACTAAAAATGACCAAAATGTTAAATTTCAAAATAGATTAACTATATCTCATTTTTCTCTGGCAATCTGGCATAAATTTCTTTTATCCGGTTAGATTACTTAGATGGGATGAAATCTAATACTCCGTCTATGTATGGTGAGTCAATAAAATTGTCATTTTACATTTCGGTCTAATACGTATTCATGAGTTTAAGAAAATGAGTTTATCTTCCCAATAAAATGAAATGGACTCGAATGAATTTTTCTACTCGTAGATATATATATGATCAAACATGCTAATACGAAAACACTGCAACAAATAAAATACATATTTCGGAACACTTCTAAAATATTACTTCTTCTGCCCCGCTAAGATTGTCACATCTTTCCTTTTCGGCCTGTCCCACTATGATTGCTTCATACTAAATTTGACAAAATTTGTTTGGTTCTAAATAATTTTCATTTTATTCTTATTGTATCATTTCAATATCAACTACAAGGACTCACTTTTCTTAATAACCGTACCACTTCATCATGTCCCATTGTTAGTTGAACGGAGGTAGTACAATACTATCGTATAATAGTAATATGTTACAAACGGCTAAAATATCAATTTTATAGGTGTTATTTCGAGTGTTATTGTGTAAAGTGATGTGCAAGTTTTTTACCATGCAACAGTATACTTAATAGAATACCAACACAAATTATTTAAATGCAACACTATATTGTAACACTTTAACCATTATAACTTAAGCCTAAGGAATATATGCTTAAAACATATGGAGTTCTTAGAGAGCTGCGGTAGGGTTTCGCCTTTGTGCGAATAGTTTGTGTTGCCATAGTGTGGCTGAGAATCGTGGTATGTCCCCTTGCGTAGGGAGTACTTTTATGCCGATATAGGATTCAGCGGTTCTACGGAGGGAGTTTTCTCCAATAGTTGTTGTTTTGATCGGTGAGAAGGCTGGTCATCTTTGTGTTTCTTACTTGTTGCGTGTTGCTACTTGCTTCAAGGAAGTTTTAAGGTGTTGTGATTTATGAGGATGGAGGCAAGTTTACAAAAGACTTACGACAGGTTGGCTCTAGAGAGGCGTGACTTTGGTGTCGAATGTGAAGACATAACAGAGAATGTGATGTACAAGGAGCATGGTGAGAACCGCTGCCATGGAATGACCGTGTGCCTAGGGTTTGGATGAAGACGTTTCAAGTTTGAATTTTTCCGCAAATGGTTCATTGCTCTATTTTTCATGCTAGCTTTATTTATGTTTCTTTAAAACTTTTACTTTGTTTTTAGTTTGTTTGAGGTTTTATTGCTTGAAGCTCCTGTATGTTAAGTGAAAAGTTTCATGCTGTCTTGGGTAAATTTTTATGTGACTGATCAAAGCCTGGGAGGCTTTTTGGTCATTTTGATTTTGTTGAAGTGGTAAAGAGTACAGTGACCTTAAAGATCAAGATGAACTCTATGATGTCTGTTTGGTGGTCATCAATTCGTGTTGCTTCTTTGAAGGTGGTCGTCTCTAGATGAAGTTTGGTATAAGGTAGTTGGTGGATTTTTAGTTTTTGGCTAGTTGTAACTGCAAACCATTAATTAATATAGTTTGACATTTTCCTTTACAAAAAACATTTTAACCATTATACTCCCTCCATTCCAATATAAAGAGCACATTTATTTTTTCAAACATTTTTAGGAGGAACATTGTTTGGCACTGTTTGGACACTGTTTGGCACTGTTTGACACTGTTTTGCACTTTTCTTTTCTTTTTTGCCAAAAAGGGAAATGTGTCTTATATTGGGACAGCCCAAAAAGGAATACATGCCTTTTATATTGGGACGAAGAGAGCATTCTCTGTCTTACACAATGGCTTTGGAAAATATGCAACGTAACATAGATATATTTGTGTGCTTAAAATCTTTTAAGCTCGGAAGTTGATTTACAATATGATTCAGTACTTAAGTTTTCGATTACGTTCTAAATATCTTATAAATACAACTAATAATGTCTTAATAATAGCTTATAAACAGGTATTCTTCCAGCAAAACAGGTGTAAGACTACTACAACAAGGAATTTTGAGCCAGCCAAGTCTCATTCTCACGGAGGGTCCAGCAAAGACATCACCCATCTCTACGTCCGTACGCCCGCATCAAGGACAGGAGGACTCATTTAGCAGGAAGCCACCGTCTGCATACGCCTTACCTGCAGGGATTCTTCCAGCAAAACAGGTATAAGACTACTACAACAAGGAATTTTGAGCCAGCCAAGTCTCATTCTCAGTTTCTCACGGGTTTAGATTTTCAATTGAAAGCAAATCTTTTCAATTTGAAATCTTCAGTAGCAATTTAGTACGCATTTGTGAGACAAAACATGGAATTCCTTATGCTATTGATTTTGATTTGCAAAAGGTTACCTGGTTAAAGGATTCTATTCCTAAGCTTTCAAGCGCTGCTTGGTCTGGTTCTAGATTACAACTGAGCAATTCTTTCTACATTCTCTATGATGCAAACTTTTTCGGTGGGTTTATCCGAATAATTGACAAAGGACGTGATTCTTTATTCATTCCTCAAGGACGAAATGGAGATGGATTTTGTCGTATCTTGTCAGGGCTTGCTACAACGATTAATTTTATGCTTGAATTTGAGGACAAGCTGAAATCATTTGCGATTGAACATGCTCCACGTGATCTTTTGGGGAACGTTGAATCTAACCCTGCATGGGATCTTTCCATCCCTAGCTACGATGGAGACTCCTTCCATAATAATGATTTCTTTATTTCGGGATTATTACTTCAAGTAGATATAGAGAACCCTGTCTCTGTCGACAAATCTTTGGTATTGAATTTTGCTGAAGTACCTCTTTGTTCTGAGTGTGTGCTGGAGTCTGACTGTTCTATGACAATAATCAAGGATTACTTTCAAAGTACTATGACTAATGGAGTGGACTCACTTTCTCATTTTTTTAATTAAGGAATTTGAAAAAATCCCGGTCTCGTTTTTGGGTGATCGCGACACACGAGTTATGAAACCAGATGAAATAGAGAAAACTAACGATGGTATTTTGGAGGACAACATTACACGTAATCAGCCTTCTGTAGATGACGAGTGTGTCTTTATTGATCAAATTAATTCATATTTAGGGGATGAATTTCTCGGTCATGCTTCAGAGAGCGAGAAGAGACCTCCTTTATCATCAATGGAAGATCTTTGGGATTCTGACACAAACCAGGACGTGTGTAACAAGGCTAAGCTGGTTACGAGGGAAAATTGTTCGCCTACATCAAATTTGAACACTCAAATGAAACTTTATAGAAAAAATCATCAGCGATCGCATATAATGAGGACTAGATCTCAAACTTGTGTGGATCTCTTCAGCCTAGAATAAGCTCTTTTCTATATTGGGTGATTTTTCTTAGTTGCTCTGCGGGTTGGGTTAGCGTTTCTTTTTTCCTTTTCTTTATTTTCGTTTTCATGCTTTTACTTTTTGTATTTCTTGTACTTCACTTTCCTCTTTCCTTTAATAAAATTTCATTCTTTGCCAAAAAAAGGTTATAAACCAGAATCCCATGTGGAATTCTAGTATTGTTTGAGCTCTTTGGATTTCTTGAAGGTTCCTTTATATCACTTCGGGTTGGGTTATTTTGTGTTGTCTTTGTTTTTATTGTATTTTCTTTTTTTTTTGAAGAAGTTTTTATTGTATTTTCTAGTATCGTTTTTGTTGTATTTTCTTTTGTATCTCTCTCTTGTACTTTTCTTTGATTCCTTCTAATAAAACTTCATTTCATTTTTTTAAAAAGCTTATAAACCAGAATTATTAATACAACTCCCTTTTTATTTATATTAGGGCATTATCCTTTATATATAAATAAACAATACAAAATTGATGGAAATAAAATATTTTTTTCATCAACTATTTAATTGAGTTTTCAATAGCTTATATATACCAACTAATAATGTCTTAGTAGCATATAAACCAGAATTAATAATACAACTCTTTTTTTGTTATATTAGAAATAACACAAATGTGAATATATTAGTTATTTTAATACATATAATTTTATTTCATTCCACTTCAAGAAACAACGATATAACGATATGAGCATTGAATTGACACGAATTGATTGAGTTTGACATGAATCATAACATATTTTTGGCGCGAAGCTTGAGAAAACGGTATTCACACGAAATTTGACACGGATTTGACATATTGGTTCGTAATTCATGCCAAATCCCATATGAATTTTGGCCAAAAACCGTCCAAAAAACCAATGCCAAGTTCGTGCCAATTCCATAGTTTTTGTAGTGTTCAAAGCAGTTAATTCAATATATTCCCTTTTATTCAAAGTAGTTATTTCACTTATTAGCTTTGTTTCAAAATTATTTAGCTTTGTTTTTCAATAATTTATTTAATTGACTTCTTGATCGATTTTTAAGCTGAAATTTTGTAGAGATAATCTATATGTCATGATGAAAATGATCACTCAAACAGGTTTGGTCGGACAGAAGTTCTGATCAAACTATCCTGACAGAAACATCACTCACTAAATGTATAGGTAAGTTGGTGTGTGTAATGATGGATTTCTTTGGACTGAAATTTGCTGGTCTAATTTGGTCTGATCTGATCTGTATAGGTCTGGCCTGGTCTGTTCTGATCTGAACTATTCTGATCTGGTAAATAGCTAATATCTGTGTATTTTATAACTGTCAAGTATGATTTGGTCTAATCTTATCTTTTTAAATATGATCTAATTCAATCTATTTAAATCTAATCTGATCTGATTTGAAATCCAAAACAATTCAAAAGAAAACATCTTACTTATATGGACCAACTTATCAATATTGATCGCCAAAGAGGTACAACAAATTCAATAGGCCAATTTAATATGAAAAGAAAAATTAGGGTGCAGCATCTCAATATCAAAAGAACTCCCCGCCCTATCTTCCCCCCTTTCTATCCCCAGCACCCTTGTTCGGCATAAAGGTACGTTTTGTTCCACTTCCAAACTTTGAAATTTCTTTAGTTAGTCATCGATATAAACTCGTAGGAGCTTTATAGTCCCGTGTCATTAAATTTCATTTTGGATTTGTTCCCTACATTCAACTGTGTTTTTGAACGCAAAGTATATGCAGAGGAGGTGATTTTGGGTTTGATTATGATCCGAGACTTTACAGTGACACGAAATGCCCAGCTTGGAACAAATTCTCCCTACTAGGAGTTGTTTCTCCTTTTACGCAAGCCTAGGTCGTGTTAGACTGTTCGCTATTGCTGTATAGTTTTTTCAGAATGCCTGACTGTTGATGTACTCAATACTCTATAAGTGTTTGAGGATGAAAGTAAGATTTGGAAGGATTTTTTTTCTAGATATTTTGCAAGATTAAAGTTCTTTGTTTACCTCTCTATAGGCGAGGTTGTATTTAATTAGTACTTTTATATATTTTTTATTCATGGAGATCACTCTTACTTGAATGTAGTCATGTTGTAAACAAAATTATAGGATTTTCAATGGATTGGTGATTCCTAATGAATTTGATTCCATTGAAAAATATGAAACTGATACACTTCGCTGAAGAACTAGACAACCGCAAATTGTTTTTATCCATTTCCTACCTAGTCATTACCAATCAAGGACATTGTGCATGGGAAATAAAGTCTTGCTTCTTTGTAGTTTTAGTCATTCAACGCACATATCACACCGGTTAAGCTGAATGCAAAGCTTTGCCTTTCCTTTAGTATTTACTGAGTTAAAGAATGGTGAAGTGCAGGGTGTTTTTTTTTGTGAAACTATGGAGTTATCTAGATTATGACTATTATCACAGATTATGAAACTATGGAGTTATCTAGATTTTTATGTTTATCTCATTTTTTGATGCATTTAGTTCAATGTTGTGTTGAATATATCATGCTTGGTAATTCTAGAGTAGCATACATAATATTTTCTTAAGTGCGCTTGACATGAGTCAGGCAAGTCCTTTTTTTGCGTCTCAGGCGAAAGAGTACTTTAGTTCCTCTGACCCTAAATAACACACACAATTTGCTCTTTTGGCCATCCTAAAATTATCCCTCATTTTTTTGAGGGAAAGCATTTTGTGATTCATGTTACTTTCTCCTCGATATAAATTTCAGCAATACAGTTTCCACATTCTTAACCTCTGTGCCCTGTCAAATCCAGGGCTTATTAAGTGATAGAGGGAGTACTATTTTTCTGATTTATTGGCATTATTATTTCAGGAATACTTTTAGCTCCAATTTGAGCACACCATCATTCTCTTGTCACCATGTTATAGTTGGCAATCAAGATATGTCATCAGATACTGCAACTGTAGTTGATTCATCCGTGACTGAAGGGAGAAATGATAAATGGAAAATGGATTATCCAGGTACGGCTGTTGTTCTTTCTTCATTTACTCTCTTGGTCAATTTTGGGATGTTTACTTATCTACAAGACCTTGCAATTTGAGTTTTCTTGGTCTGCTTGTCGGGTACGTTTGAAACTTTGAATTGTTTGGTACTTCGGTTCACCCTATAGGCAAATAGTCTGTATTTGTGTATAGCTTGTTGCAGTGCTTACCTTTTCCCTTTCATACTTACATTTTTGTTTGATTCAATAGAAGCTATGATTTTGTATTCTCGCAAATCACATTTACATCAGCTCTAAAGAAGTTGAATGACAGTAACTATATGTCTATTAACTTTTGTTTAATCACATTTACATCAGCTCTAAAGAAGTTGAATGACAGTAACTATATGTCTATTAACTTCTTTTAGTGAAATAGAGACACTTCTATGTTCACAGTTTTTGTTTTCGGCTTGATTTCTCATTTAAATATAAAAATGATTGAAGTACATAGAAACACATACATGATACATGACAAGGTAGGGCTTCATGCATTTGGCCACATTGTGATGAGTCTCTTATCAGTTATCACATATCACTTGATGCAACTTTGTAGCTAGATGTCGATTTATCATCAGAGTCGCACATAAATGGATGGGCAAATAGGTTTCATTTTTTGCATATGCTTAAATAAATTACATAATTCAGGTCCTTTTCATGTGCAGTCGTAGTTAATGATCGTCAATTACTTAATACGTTGTTGCAATTAATCAGCACTTAGCCACTTATACCCCACACAAAGTTGAAGAGCTAATATTCATTTAAATTATGCTGAGATGGTAGAGTCAACATATGCACACTACATAGTTGTACGCATAATAACTTAAGTCTTACCCATGTCAGTTAACACCTTTCCTTTTTTCATTTAAAATCTGTATTGAGACAAATCATTCATAACACATTTTCCAGCCTGCCCAAACTATAGAGAGAAGGATGACCACTATTGTTCTGATTCTGAAGCAGATTACCATGCAAACTCATGTGAGCAGATTGGTATTTCAGCTGAAGTTGGAAATAGAAGGCAGAGGTTGTATAGTACGCGCTACTTCATCATCAAGAGCCTGACCCATGAAAATCTTCAATTATCTGTTAATAAAGGTATTTGGGCAACACAAGTTATGAATGAGCCTATTCTGGAGGAAGCCTTTCATGTAAGATGCTTGTCTGTTTGTTTTCTTCACTATTTCATTACCATGATCGCTCCCATATTTTCATAGTTAATTACATTTACCTTCCATTAGCATGGTAAAAGAGGTGTTTTTGAGGCAGATCTTGAGGCTTGCTTGATAACTTCACTAAGCCTCGAGGTTTTAGCCTCATATGGTTGATGCGTTTTGTTAGGCTTAAACATTGAAGCGTTTTGGGTTGCTTATGTTTTTGTTTTAAGTTTTGTCTTGGCTTATACAACAACATCTTATCCTTAATCCAAAAAGAGTTTTGGATCGGCTAACATGAAATGACATATAACATAGGAAGCTAAAACAATAAATAGATAAGAAAGGGAGAGTGGGAGACAAACAAAATCAGATCTATTCATTGATACTCCATATGTGTACTCTCCCACCACTTCGCTCTCTCCAAAGTCATACTCTCATCTAACCGAAGTACCATATCATTCTTGGTCACTGTATCACTCGGTCTTCTACACGCATGACCAAACCATCACAGTTGAGACTATCACATTCTATCTTCAATAGGTGTTACTCTCACTTTTCCCCTATTTGTTTCATTCCTCAAACGTTCTTTTCTAGTATGTCCACACATTGAAGCAACATGCACATCTTAGTTACATTCATCTTTTGAATGTAATATTATATTATTATTTCACCGTCCAACACTTTGTCATACAATAATGCAGGCCCAATTGTTAAATAGTCCATGAGCTTTGGTCAAATGATCAAATGACCCCAGGTTTCTGTACATATTGCAAATAAGTCCCTTGGTTATTCAAAATATCCATAACTGAACTGAAAGGTGATAGACTGATAGGATAAATTAATATTATTTGGAATTGAGTTTATTTGCACTAAATTGCCATATTAGTTCAGAAATTTATGTTTCAGAGAAAGCTTCAAATATTTTAGCTGATAAAATGCATTCAACAAAAAAAAGTTAAAAAACATCCAAGCCTTGGTCCCAAAAGAGTTTGGGGTCGGCTAACATGAATTGACACATAAAATCGGAGCCAAAAAGATAAGAAAGATATAAAGATAAGATAAGATAAAAAAGAGAAAAAGTTAAGATAAAAAAGAGAAAAGATAAGATAAAAAAGAGAAAAAGATAAGATAAAGATAAAAATGATAAGATAAACAAAATAAGATAAAAGAATAAAGAACATAAAAAAGATAAAGAAGGTAAAACATAAAAGGATAAAAATGATGAACGAGATCAATCCTCCACACGAATATTTTCTCTCCACTTTATGCATTAATGACAAAATGCATGAATAACACAAAATTTATCTCAAAGTTGCAGCTTGTAAATACTTAATATTATCATATGATTCATATTTTAGTTAAAAAAGAGTCATTTGTAGAACATTTGTTTGATGAAGGGGCTTATTTGTAATTTTCATAAACCTCAAGAATTATTTAATTGTTTGACCAATCTTTTTACTACCACTTTTTAACTGGCACATACAATTCCGCTGCAGAATTCACGGAAGGTCATTCTAATATTCAGTGTCAACATGAGTGGTTTCTTCCAAGGCTATGCACAAATGATGTCATCGGTTGGGCAGATACGTGATCGAGTATGGGGCCAAGGAAGTGATGGGCGTAATCCTTGGGGTCGAACCTTTAATGTTAAATGGTTGCGGTTGCATGATTTGCCTTTTCAAAAGACTCTTCATCTGAAAAACCCCTGGAATCAGTACAAACCTGTTAAAATTAGTAGAGATTGTCAGGTTCTACTGCTATACAAGCTTTTTCAGCTGTTTGCGTGTACATATGTTTGTTATCCAAAATCACCAAGGATTAGAATATGTGACTGTTGTCCTTGTATTATTGTAGGAGTTGCATCCAGATGTCGGTAAAGCTCTGTGTGAACTCCTTGATGGAAAAGATGTGTCTGATGTTAATATAAAAGTGTACAAGCTTCCTTGATCTTGAATAGTTTTGCTGTGCAAAAGCCCTTTTTCAAACACAAATCACACACACACATAATTATGAGGTCTGCATCCGGTGAGAAGGATTTCAAGGAAAAATGAGAATAAATCTCAACTCTTTTTCATCAATTTGGTCATGGATGGAGTAGTAGTGTAGTGCAGTTTTTCCAAAAAATGTGGTGGCATAATCATCAATATGTGAAACTTTAATGTGCAGTGGTTAAAGCTTGAAAGTGCACCTTGTTATAATTATCTTATGCACTATGTATCTTTCCCTGATGCAAATTATAACTTCTGGCTACTATTGCACTTATTCAGTAATGCAAATTTCGTTTTGAACACGGGTGCACTTTTTACATGTACAAAATTGCATTGTTATGTATACAATTATGCACTTTCATCACAGACATCACTGAGTATGTAAGCTAAACTTTGACATACGTAGTATTTAATAAATTTTATCGCATTCTTCATTAAAAGCTCTCATTATTTACATGTATGGGCCATCACATTTCTCTTTGAAAAATGATATCATCTGTCCATTATTTAGATCAATGACCAAGATTTGTTCTCATTTCTTTCATAAGATCAACTTCTCATTTAAAAATATGCGTGTATATTTAAATATATGGCACAAGAGAAATCCCTGTTTTCGCATTCATGTTTCCCTAAGGTTACTATTGGCTCTTGCAGGGAAAATTTTTATTGGGGTGACCACTCAGTTAAAAGGCCACATGTAGAGCATTCAGTGCATTCAAGAGACGGAGTTTGTAATATGCCACTGATGCATATGGGCCCAATGATTTATTCTTCTTTAACTTACCAGCATCACGCGAGTATGTTTCATACAGAACATCATGATTCAGACAGTATGTTTCTACCTTGGACTTAATCTTTTGTGCTTGTGGAGATTCACAAATGGAAGTAGTCTAAATGTTCCCAGGGAAAGAAATAGGACCCTCACAAAATATATTTATGAGGGCCCACATTATTCTTCTCAATTTGATTTTTTTTTTTTGGGTCTCTCAGGTGAAAGTCCTCTTGCTAGTATTCTTACTACTCTCACTGATGATGATATTATTGACATGGTACGTGCCCATCATTTTATGATAGAGCACCTGAGTATATCATTAGGAACAAAAGATAATCCTTTGTTATGTACTCATGTTATAATTTTAATTCAGAAATGTATATCATTAGGAACAAAAGATAGTCCTTAGTTATGTACACATAACACATGTTATAATTTTAATTCTGAAATGTAAACTCTTAAAAGTTTTATTGTACATTACATTGTCTACTAAGTCATTCTAATGAATTGATACTTCAGGGTTTAAGGCATCATATGTTATGTTTGGGATATTTGGTTGTTTTTCAAAAATATTTTAAATTGTTATTCTAATATAGTAATAATATGTATAAGAGTTTGATGCGTGTGATGGGAATTTGGGGAGAGAATGAATCAACATGAGAGTTTTGGTGTTGATTCTACAGTAGTATATTGGAATCAGACTTCTTGAGTGTTTCAAAGTTCTACTATTGTAATGAGATTTTGAGAGGAAGGCAGCGTGTCCTATGAAACTAATGAGCTTCAGATTGCAAAATCACGTATTCGGATTTTTATGGCAACATTTAAACTTATTCTTCTAACTTTTGGTGCTAGTAACAGACTTGCTTTCAAGAAGATAAAACAAACACCTCTTAGTAAACAACAGCATTCAATCTATAGTCATCTTTTGGGTTCGGCTAACATGAATTTATACATGATATCGGAGTCAAAAGGAAAAGAAAGGTAAAAAGATAAAAAGACAAGTAATGATATACCCATACAAAAAGTAAGATAAAGATAAAGATATATACTAGTATAAGATAGAGATAAAAATGATAAGATAAAAAGGAAAAAAAGAATATATATAAAATAAAAAAGATAAAAGGATAAAGAACATAAGAAAGATAACAAGATAAAAAACGATAAGAGATCAATTCTCCACACGAATATTTGCCTCCACTTTACTCTCTCAAAGCCATACATTCATCCAACCCAAACAGAAGCATATCACTCTTGACTCCTGACTTCTTTAATCTCTGACTCCCCTGTCTGTTGGGTCTTCCTCTCCCTCTCTCCCTCCTTCCTGCCTCTTATCCACACCTCTCAACTCGTTTAACATGTGCATCACTCCGTCTTCTACAAACATGACCAAACCACCTCTTAGTAAACGAGTCTGTAAAAGTATCTTGTCACTGGATTTGGTGGTATTATGTTATCATACTCTAATAACTTGACCCTAATTCTTTCACTGATGATCTAACCTTGTTTGCTGGTTGTGTATCAAATGAGAAATAATCCATTTTTGCTCCCTTTTTTACTTCTAATCACATGTTGCAGACATATGAAGAGTACCTTGAAGCCCATAGCAAAGGGTCTGGGAACAAAAGAGTACGGAATCATGTTAGTCTGTTTCTCACATCTTCTCTTACATTTCTAGATGAATATTAGATCTTGTACCAAGGCCCTTAACAATAGTTTTGTTCATGGAAGGATAATGTGAAAATCTAATATATCAATATAGCTCATGTTAATGCATGCTTTATTGTTACTCCTTTAGTTAGATTCCTCACATCACATGCATATTCATAATTCATGAAACCCTCTAAATTTTTATGTTTCTTGTGTTTGAACTGTTTTTATTCAAAATGACTCCTTTCTTGAGTTTTGTAATTTTTTATGTATTCATTCAGCAGGTGAAGACGTGAAGTGTATCTAAACCCTAACCCTAAACCCTAAACCATAAACCCTAAACCCTAAAAGATGCTATTGACGTGAAGGGTTCCAGGAAATTGCTTTCCTTGAAAACAAGTTGCTCTATGTATAAATATATGTCTAATCACATAAACATTGGAAAAAGTTAACTGATTCTTCAAACGTTAAACCACATGATATATGGTTTTCTTCCTGAAAACATTTTCAGGAAGAAAATCCAGCTGCTGAAAACATTTTCAGCTGCCATTCACACGAAAATCCAGATCTCAAAAAAATAATAATCCTGGAAACCTAAGCCATCAGTAATTGATGCCTGTCCAGTTTCTTTTGTGAATTATTTTTGTGATGTTGTTGTTTACTGGTTTATGAAAAATAAAAGAGCAGCCCGGTGCACATTGGCGTCCCCGCTAGGAGAGCGCCCCAGGAAGGGTCCCACCACAAGGGTGTAAAAGGGATATCCCTTCTCTTGTCATTTTGACTAGAGGCTGCTCCCAAGACTTGAACCTGTGACCTCTCAGTCACACAACAGCACCGTAACCGGTGCACCAACCCCCCAACCCCCCCCCCCCCCCCCCCGTACTTGATTGTCAGATTAAGAAAAAATATGTTACAAAGGGGAGGATAACGAGCTTCATGTTTGCAGAAAAGTTGCTATTGACTTGTAAACTCGTTAGATTTAAACTACTGGTGATCCAACCAGTGTTGTCAATAGCGCGCTATAGCGGCATAGTGGAGCGGAGGAAGGGTTGGGTGCTACAAGACCACATGTAGTGTCGCGTTTGACTCTAGCGGGAGTAGCGGACGCTATAGCGGCATTATTTGCTTTTCTTCTCTGCAGTTAGGGTTTTCTGGGGTAAGTTTTGTTTTCAGAGGTATTAAGGGTAAAGTAGAGTTTTTTAATAAATAGTCACCACCGTAAAACCCTTTTATGCATTACTGTTGCGACTCACACCTGATAGTCTGATACGATGACAAATATCTGGTTCTCTTCTTCAAGAACAAGTGAACAGCCTCTGCAGCTTCATCTTCTACAAGAACGACATCTGCTAACACTCCTATTTGCTTCTTTTGAGTATATTTTCTCCTCTACAAGAACTATCTCTGCAGCACTCACTCCTCTTCTTTTCTTCTTCTAAGTAGCATCTTCTGTTTATTGTTTAGACTTAAGTTGTTTTAATTTTTAATAGCTTCGTATGTTGTTTATTACACAATGGAGTATTTTGTTGGTACTTTAGGATTTATGAATGTCAAGATGTTTGGTACTCAGTAACATAAATTATGTTTTTTAATTTGATGTCTATAAAATGTAATTATATACACACATATCATATGTATTTTGCATATATATTCCATGAATAGCGGTTATCCCTCTATCCACTATACCGCTATAGCGTTTTCAGGGCTGGCCGTAACACTCCACTGTCCAGGATTGACAACACTGGCTCCAACCGAAAGTTGTTTTAGACTGAGTGAGAATGCACTGAAAGAAATGCCTTAAGTGTGTTAGTTTCTGTCATTTATTGGTTTGCCTTGGAGAGAGACTGTGCACTATATCACCACTCTTTAGTCGCTAATTTAGGGAATGTATGTCAGAATGAGCAAAGCATGTTCTGTAACAATATTAATAATATACTCGTGTATTTTCATCTCTTGTCAGGTTTCAGGGCAAACAGGGAGTACACAACAGTCATCCATCAGCAAAGAAAACTGTGATGAGTTGTAAGTCTATTGCAATTCTCTAAAATAATACATTTTTAAAGAGATCTGAAGGGCGGGTTAGTACAACTAGCAGAGTTCTCCTCTGAACCAGGCCAGCTGGTCCCCTCCCCCATTGTTACCCTTTAGTGGCCCCTAGGACCGGTCTGGAACCAGTAACTGACCATTTGCCGATGTAAGTGCAGTTCATATCTATTGGGACAGGATCGACTGGTTTCGGTCTACATTTTTTTAATTGGCTGAAATGCAAAGGCCACATCAGTGGCGCTCCATGGCTATATTGCCATTTGGAGACTTGGACAACAGCGTAGGAAATTTGCAAATGGCCAATTCACTGGTGCTCTAGTGCAAGCTTAATAAGTTTTTGTTATTGAATGTAAAATGTAGTATATGTAAATTAAATGTTTGTATTGTTTTCTATTTATAACTTTATAAATTGTTTGTAACTTTTAAGTATTCATATAGAATTATACGTTGCACATTTGTAAATGGTAAAGTTGTTCTGTGACATTGTTTTTTTGAAAGTTCAATTCAATAAAATAATATTTTACCGTTCTTCTTTTAAGTGCCTTTTGTGCTTGTTAAGATAAAAAGAAATTCCAAACAACCTATCTCGATCACCTGAGAACTGAGACCGTTACCAAACCCCATACCTACGGCTCCACTCCCCTTAGGTTTCGGAAAGAACCTACAGGGCTAGAGTTTGAATCAGCCTCCTTCCAATAAGCAATTTGTAGGGTGGGATGGAATACTTCCTTTCCGAGACCCTCCATTTTGTAGGGTAAACTTCCCTTTTGAACACAATTGGGTTTACACAACACTTTCTTGTAATTCATTTCGTATTATTCATTTCACAGGCAGTCGGGCTGCAGTTCGAAGAAGAGTTGTCAACGCCATTCTAATTCCTGATTCTGTTGTATTGTATTTGCAAGCATGTATTTGGCTCATCAGTTAGCCGCAAGTCCGCAACCACCAAAGTCAATTCCTCTAAATTAGAGGTGAACCGTGTGGTAATGCCGTACTATAGTGTAATATTTATTGTATTATGTTATTTCCATACTATATGCTGTAATACTGTTAAACCTTTCTGGAATTAATAATTTGTATAGCTTAAAGCTTTTTGTAAGTACTCCCTCCGTTCTTTAATATGAGTCTCTTTAGGCTTTGGCACGGGTTTTAATAATAAAATAGTAGGGGTAAAGTAAAAAGTGTAGTAGAAGTAATTAAATGGAAAAGTAGGAAAGGGAATGAATTAATAGATGAAATTAAGTATGTGGGGGAGGAAAGGAAAGAGAAAAAAAAATGATAATCCAAGGAAAGAGAGGATGACTTTTCTCTCTTTCCATGCGTACACCTTTTTCCAGGGCCCTACTGCCCTTTCCAGTTGCCGCCCAAACAAAGGAGGAGATGACATTTCCCTCCAAATCAAACCCTACAAGACCCACTATAAATAGAAATGCCTATCTATTTTTACACTTGTATCCTAAAAATAGCAAAACAACAAATGCAATCAGCTTTTCTGCACATTTGAGCTAGCAAATGAACGAAGAAACAACACCCAGTCCGCACACTTTTTCCAGCAGATCTACTCTTCACATGAGTGCAGCAGTTTCAGATTGTATTCCTCCAGAAGAGATGTTACTGATTGAGCTGGGGCTTGCAGCTGAAGAATATGAAGCTGATGCTGATTTTGAAGATGAGCCCCCATATGTTGAGAACACAAAACCAAACACACAACATTCTGAAGGTAATGTACCTGAAATAAAAACCACATCAAAGCCCATGGCAAAAAGAAGGCTAATAGCAGAAGAATTGTTATCAAAGGCAAGTCAAAATTCAGAGACTAAACTGTTGAGTTGTAAGAGAGGAGTAATGAAAGAAGTTGCGAGTACTCACAATGTTTGCACTAAAACAGTCTGTAGAATCTGGGCATCAACAAAAAAACAAGTTGAGCAAGGTTTGGAAATTAACACAGAAGGAAGAAAAAAAGGGAACTGTGGTAGGAAAAGTATACCAATTGACATTGAACACATACGTGCCATTCCTAAGAGCAAGAGGACCACAATGAGAAGCTTGGCAGCTTGTCTTGGGGTTAGTGTTTCCAAAATCCACAAGTTACTAAGTACAGGTATTATAAAATCACATTCAAATGCAATTAAACCTGCTTTGAATGACAACAAACTGGACAGAATGAAGTGGGCAATGTGTCACATAATTCCAAGAAGCATCACTCAACCACCACAGTTCACAAGTATGTTCAATGTCATACATGTGGATGAGAAGTGGTTCTTTATGAGCCAAGTAACTCAAAGATACTACCTTTTACCCTCAGAGGAGGACCCTCATAGAAGCTGTCAAAGTAAAAGATTTATCGACAAGGTCATGTTTTTGGCAGCCATTGCTAGACCATGGATCCATGATGATGGATCAATTATATGGGATGGGAAAATTAGAATTTTCCCTTTCACAGAATTAGTGCCAGCAAAGAGAAAGAGCAAAAACAGAAGTGCAGGGACACTTGAAATTAAGGCAACCACATCTGTCACGAAGGAAGTCATCAGAAATGCATTTCTTACACTATTGGTTCCAGCAATAAAAGAAAAATGGCCCCCCAATGCATGTAAAACTATATGGATACAACAAGACAATGCAAGGCCTCACATAGGTTTGGATGATGCAGCATTTAAGGTTGCAGGTACAATGGGTGGGTGGGATATGAAATTGGTCTGTCAGCCTACAAATTCCCCTGATCTAAATATTTTAGATCTAGGGTTTTTTAGAGCTATTCAATCAATTCAGTACTAGAAAAGTCCAAAGACACTCCAACAATTGTTAACAGCAGTACAAGAAGCATATGCAGAATATGGAGCACATAAGGTAAATCACAATTGGCTTCAATTACAAGGTGTCATGGTTGAGATTTTGAAATGCAAAGGAGGCAACAACTACAAAAGCCCTCACATGGGAAAACAGAGATTGGAAAAACAGGGGCTTCTACCAAGTAATTTGGAAGTAAATGATGACTTGCTTTCAGAAACAGTTGCTCATTTGAATGGTGCATTGGAGGACAATGAGACAATGACCAGTTAATGCTCAGTTCATGTTTGAAGTCATAAACTCCCCACTCTAGGTATGTAAATTAATGTAGTCCCTATAATGCATTGCAAGGTCAGTTAACTGATGTAGTGAATGAACTACAAAGTTTTGAGTTTTGCCCATTTCAGTTAATGTACAATGCAGTGTAAACTTCATGCTTTTGCCCATTTCAGTTAATGTACAATGTAGTGTAAACTTCATGCTTTTGCCCATTCTAAGGTAATGAAATGCATTTGGCTTTTCATCATTTGACTTCCTTGTTTAGTTTCTCAAATATACTTGACATACTGTGTATCATCATTGAAAAACTCACTTCTTCTCATACAAATGAGAGAGCATATTTACAAATCAGAGAGCATACACTGATACCAGAGACACCACAATGATTTCTCAACAATGTGTAGTATCATACAAATCACAGAGTATCATTTGAAATCAGACAGACATCTATGATTTCTCAAAAACATAAGTTATCATAAAATGAGAGAGCATACACTTGATTCAGATACACAACTATGATTTCTCAAAAATTAAATGTTATCATAGAAATCATAGAGCATACACAACAATCAAAGACACAACAATCATTTATCAAAAATCTTTGTGTTATCATAGAAATCACAGAGAATAATCTGACATCATAGACACACCAATGAATTTTCTAAAAGCTTTGTTATCATAGAAATCAGAGAGCATCCAGTGACATCAGGCACACAACAATGAATTTTCATACACGTTTGGTATCATAGAAATCACACAACAAACACTGAATCCAGAGACACAACAATGATTTCTCACATTAAAAGGCAACAAAGGGAGGGTACGAATAACCCAATCCTGAACAACATTAAAAGGCAGCAATGGGAGGGTCCAAAGTAGGCATGAAAACATGGGAGTACAACATTCCGAACAACAGAAATGAAATTAGATTACTTATCGGCAAGTGCATGTGCAGTATCAGCACTCAAACACCCTCAACGCTTCCACAATTCATCCCACCCTTTTAGATAATCAGATCCAACCTTCCTTTGAGGGAGTATTAGTTTCAGCATGGCCTCGCTGCCTTTCTTCGCGGCCTCAAGTTCAGACGCGGTTTGGTATGGAAGAACTGCCAGACCCAACCTCGCGTTTCTCTCAATCCATTGCAGATCCGCCTTCTCCGCAGCTTCATTCTTCGCCAGATCTGACAAACGTTTGGTATCATCGAAACGTTGGACTGCCGTTTCAGGCACAAATGCGTCCGCATCGGATTGTTGGACCGGCGATTGAACCACACACACCCCGGAATTGGAACCTTGGTCCGGCGTATCAGTCACATATGGTGCAGGAATTATCGTGTCACAGGGGAGATCCATCTGAGGTACTATGGTAGTGCAAGAAGACAGCGAAGGAAGGAGGGTGGAAGGTGAAGAGGGTGGGATGTTTGTGGGAATATATGGTACGCGGTGGATGGGGAGTAATTAAGGTAGTGGGTGGAGAATAATTAAGGTAGTGGGTGGGGGGATTAATTAGTTTAGGTGTAGGGGTAATAAGTGAGGGTAGAAGATGGGAGGGTATATTGGTATATTTAGAGTAAAAAGTTTCCTTAAATGGAAAGGAGGACAGATAAAAAAAACGTCTCAAAAAGGAAAGAAGGACTTTTATTAAAGAACGGAGGGAGTATATTTTATTTTTATCTTTTTGGTTTAGTGGACTGGTTGAATTTTCTGTGCAGAACTGCAGAAGTAGCACACTTTCCAAAATTTTGTAAGTACATTTGGGGGGTTTAATGCACCAAACTCTCTAATGAAATAAAAATTCGGCGCATTGGTCCTCTGTGATTTAAAAAATGCGTCAAACCCCCCCTGTGTTATGATTAATCATACGCAAAACCCCCTCCAAGAACAAATTTTAAAATTTTGAAATCACTTTTTTAATAATATGGTTGAATATGCAAGTGGCTTTGTCAAATTTCTAAATTATACAAAAAAAATAACCATTTTTCATTTTTTTTTGAAAATTAAATTTGTTCTTAGAGAGGGTTTGGCGCATGATTAATTATAACACGGGGGGTTTGATGCTTTTTTTAAATCACAGGGGGCTAATACGCCGAATTTTTATTTCACGAGGGGGTTTTGTGCATTAAACCCTACATTTGGGATGATGTCTGTGCTTCCCATGTGGCCATGTCGAGTGTTGTAATCTTTATGTTTTACTAAGGTTCCTATTTTTTTAGTTAACAATTAATATTCTAAAATGACAGCTTAATAATCAAATATAAAAAATAGAATATCTATAACATACAATAACATCAATGGCTTCTTTATATTATATATCCAAATTATTTAACAAAATATACTCTAGTTATTTTATTTAATCATTGTCTAAATAATCGTATCATTTTGCAATGACAACTTTTGATCGGGAATCGGGTTGGAGCCATGAAGGTAGTATGTTTTTTTCGCATGTGTTCTTATGG